CGACTCGCCAACCGACGCGGCCAACCTTTGTTCAATGCCCCGGCGGCTCCCCCACCACCAATCCTAAACTTTGCCACTTTTTACGCCGAGTCGATGCACGGACAGCGCCAGCTCGGGACTATTCGCGAAACCGCTTGGAAGACGAGATTTGCCATGGGTCGATCGAATTTTCATTCTTGACAATCAAATTACCAGGAAAGTAGATATTTTTGTAGTTGCATGACGTAAAGAAGAAAAGGCAGAAAGCAGAGAAAAAATGAGAATGCTCACGCCCGGGTTTTCGCGTTTCCCATACAAGTGCTACACCAAGTGGCCAATTCGGGAAGAAGCTCCACCGTAGCATATACCAGAACCTTTTTAGTAGAGAGGCAGAGATCTACCAAGAATTAAATTGAGTTCCACCTTGCATACACACAGTATAGTATAGGCAGTATCACAGATCAGATACACAAGTAGATAGATATTGAAGGAAATTTGAAAGTCGTTCACACGAACATGGAGGAAGCATGCTTACGGTGATAGTGTAGACGACGGTGAGAGAGAGAGAGAGAAAGAAAAAATAGTTTAGGTCACTGTCTTACATACAGATCTGGAAACTCGGTGGTGGGGGTAGGCCTGCTAATGTAACCACCTGCGCTTCTGAAATCTGCCACCAAAGCGGGGGCGCGTACGTCTAGAAGTTAATGTGGGCTACGTAATATGTGCGGGAAAGTTTAAATTCATGTTTTGAAAAAAGAAAAAGTAACATTACTAAAAAAACGTAAGGATTATTTATAGGAAAGACAATAAATAATACCGATAATTCAAATTAGGAAAATGTATTGTCATTAACATTTATATTTAGATAAATATTTATACATTATTATTATATTTATATATTACTTATACATATATGTATATTTTATACATTATATTTATACATTATATAGATATTTATACATGACTTAATTTAGCCATTTTCCTCTTAATTTAGACATTTTCCTCTGTGTGTACAATGGCCTTCTTCTTTATTTTTTGGTTTTCTTGAAAGATAAATTGCCTCATTCTTAATCGAATATAATAGACGATCGAATATGATAGAATTTCTGAACCATGCTCTGCACATAGAAAGGTAAATAAATAATTAGTCTTCACTTCTTCAACGGTAAGATTGAAGACATTAGAATTGGAGGCATTGTTTGGGAAACATTTTTCTACAAAATTAATCAGGCTAAAAAAGTGCGAGTTAGCATGAATAAATCCTCCGTGCGCTTTCATTTCAACTAGTACTGCATTTGCATTTTGTGATTCACAGTGAGTCAAAGCTTCTTTACAAATATCACATTCGTTATATTCTTCCTTTTTCAAAACTTGTTTACATAAATAACCTGCAGATAAAGTTTTATAATGTTAATACTAAAGTCATACGTTATTTTTCTTACTTTGTCAACTACAACGAACTTTCCGTATACGTGTATCAGGTAAACGGCAAGATCCAAACTGCAAACTTGCCCTTTAAATGCTCGTCAATGCTCGTGTCTCGTAGATCCTTCGATGACCAGCAAACGCTTTCGCTTCTGCTCCTTCATTTTCGCGTAAAGGGGTGCAAATGAGTCACGCTCAGCGATTGCACGTGCATATGCTATACGAAGGCAAATGATAATTATTTTTTAACAGCCATAAACATTTCAATGAATTTAACGAGATAACTGTATGTACTTTATATAATAACAATAATGAAAGTTGAATAATTAGTATGAAAAAATAATCTTATATAATAAATTTTATTAA